AACGCAGAATAAGTTGTTCTCACTTAGACGAAAAAACCCGCATATGGCGGGTTTTTTTGCAAGCTTATCTAATTAAAAACCAGACATCGTACCCGTATATTCAAAGTCTTTTAGTTTTGACCAACCTTGAACCGTGTCTCCCAAGCGTTTGCTGAAATACATGATCGAAACCCACTGTTCTTGGCCATCATCATAGGTGCTATAAGCAGTGATATGGTCATTTTTAATCATAAACAGATCTTTGATTTTACAAGCATTGCTCGGTGCTGAATGAAAATACACTCTGGTTGGAGCAATCACTTTCATGCCCCAACGTGGAATAATCTGAACTTCTTTTTGTTCTGCCTTTTCCTCAAGTTTTACACAATCTTCAGCATGCAATAAAGGGGCAACTGAACAGAATAGGGCAATAGATAAAAGCGTCTTCATATACTTTAATTCCATTATCTTCAGCACTGCAAAGTACAAATTAGAACTGCAATGGCAGCTATATTGATCTCATTTTAGCTTAACGCTTAGAACCGCAGTGAATGCCATGAACAACTAAGCCGCAACATCCTCAAAGCTTTTCTCACGGCGAAACATCACATCGACATAAGAACAGGTCGGGATAATTTTAAGGTTTTTCTCACGTGAAAAATCAACCAGAGTATCCAACAGCAAACGCGCCACACCTTGACCCCGCAGTGAATCATCGACCCAAGTATGGTTGGCATCAATGGTTGTGTCATCCCGCCAAATATAGCTAATTTCAGCAATGCGCTGACCTTCTGCATTATTTAAAAAAAACTCACCTTTTTGATCACGATCTACATGTTGAAATTGCATAGCACACTCGTTGAATGGATTGATTTATCGTTCTCTATCTTAGTGGAATAAAACATCATGAATAGATGGATCTTTGTCGAATACCGATTTGGAAAAAGGGCACAAGGGTAAAATTTTCACGCCCTTATCACGGGCAAAGTTAACCAAAACATCCAATAACTGACGCCCCACATGTTGCCCACGGAGCAACTCACTGACCCAAGTGTGATCAATGATAAATTTATCATCCCCAGCCCAACTATAAGTCATTTCCGCCACACGCTCGTTTTCTTGCTCAACAAAAACTTCGCCTTTACTACCTGTTTCTTGATGTTGAATTTTCATTATTATTCCTCTTTGGTTTACTGTTTTTTTTTAGCTTGCCACAAATTGAAGTAAAATTTTGTCTCATTTATATTTCATCTACAATTTTCTTTAATATTTGCTCAAACCATAAAAATATGCGATGCTTAGCTCACTTTTGGATCAAATCCAAAACCAAATTTATGTTGAACAAGGGGAGTAGCCTCCTCCAAACGTGAAAAATCAATGCCATGCATCACTTTCACGTGTCAGATTATCGTCATTACACTTTGCAAAAAGTCGGTATCTGAGCATTTTAGCGCACAAAATACATACGCTAAAATGTAGGCAAGACCTTGATCATGTTGTCACAGATGTTTTATTTCATCTGGCAGCAGGTCAAGGTTTTTTTGTGGCCGATTGCTGGATGTGGAGGATTTCATGGAATCTATCGGCAATTTATGGCTATACCTTGCTTTTTTCGGCATTGTTACCGTGATGCTACTGATCGACTTTTTAGGCTTTAAACAAAAAGAAGGCCAAGAAGTTAAAATCAAAACAGCCGCGTTATGGAGTATTGCGTGGGTTTCCGTCGCATCACTCTTTGGTGCAGGTCTCTGGCTGTATTTACAACAAACTGCAGGTGTCACTGTGGCCAATACCAAGGTCATGGAGTACTTCGCAGGTTATTTACTTGAAAAATCTTTAGCCGTCGACAACGTCTTTGTCTGGCTGATGATCTTTGCTGCTTTTGCCATCCCACCTGCACTACAACGCCAATTACTGCTGTATGGTGTATTGGGCGCGATTATTCTACGTACCATCTTTATTTTTATTGGCGCGTGGTTCGTACAAGAGTTCTCATGGATTCTGTATATCTTCGGTGCGTTCTTGGTGTATACGGGCTTCAAATTCTTCAAAGGGCAAAACGAAGAAGAAACCAATATCGAAGATATGGCGATCTTAAAATGGTTGCGTAAACATATGCGGATTACCCCGCAAATGCATGGCAATAAGTTCTTTGTCCGTCAAAACGGCATGTTGTGGGCAACGCCGCTGTTCTTGGTGTTGATTTTAGTTGAAGCGTCGGATGTAATTTTCGCGGTGGATTCCATTCCTGCAATTTTCGCGGTGACCTCTGATCCATTTATTGTGTTGACTGCAAACTTAATGGCGATTTTGGGTCTACGTGCGATGTTCTTCTTGTTATCTGGTGCAGCAACCAAGATGCATTATCTCCCGTATGGTTTAGGCATTATCTTGGTATTCATCGGTGGCCGTGGCGGAGGCTCGTTCGGAGGTTAATACATGAAACGAGTTCTACTGCCTGAGCGTGCAAACTGGCAACAAGCACATCAAGAGATTGGTTTTGACTACTACAACTTGCCGTCGCGGGATGGTTCAATGTATTGGTCAGAAGGGGTGGCTTATGAGTTTAGCCTCAAGCAAATTGAACAGCTTGAAGATGCCTCGAACGAATTACACCAGATGTGCCTTGAAGTGGCAGGGGATATGATTCAACGCGGTCATTATCCCGAATATTTTCAAATCCCCCCAGCAGCGATTCCTCTGATTGAGCACTCATGGAAAAACCAAGCGCCGATGCTGTATGGCCGTTTCGATTTTGCCTATGATGGTCAAGCCATTAAAATGCTGGAATACAATGCCGATACGCCAACGGGTTTACTCGAAGCCTCTGTTGCACAGTGGCATTGGATTGAACAGGTCGAAAACATTGCAAACCGTGATCAATTCAACAGCATTCATGAAAAGCTGATTGAGCGTTGGAAACAGCTCTATCCTGCGCGTAGCCGCGTCCATTTCGCAGCCTGCCAAGAAGCAGGGCGTGAAGATTGGGGCAATTTAGAATACCTCATGGATACTGCTTTTCAGGCAGGCTTAAATGTCAGCGAACTGTCGATGGAAAACATCGGTTGGAATGGCACAGCCTTTGTCGATTTGCATCAGCAAGAGATTCAGCATTTATTTAAGCTGTATCCGTGGGAATGGATTTGGGAAGAAAGTTTTTCGCAGTTTCTCAAACCCGAAACCGAATGGATTGAACCATGTTGGAAAATGCTGCTCTCCAATAAAGCCCTATTGATCGAGCTATGGAAACGCTTTCCGAATCATCCATTATTGTTAGAAACCCATGCTTATGATGCGCACGCCCACTACGCAGGGAAATGGGTGCGTAAGCCCATCTTAGCGCGCGAAGGCGCAAATATTCATATCCTACAAAACAATGTCGATTGTGGCGCAGCCTCAGGTAGTTTTTACTTCGATGACTACGATAAATATGGCTATGTCATGCAACGCTGGGTAAAAACTCCGTTGCATGAAGGCATGCTGCCCACCTTGGGACTTTGGATGGTCGGGGATGAATGTGCTGGGATGTCACTGCGTGAAGATGTGTTTGATGTGATTGGCAATGATGCGCATTTTGCTGCGCATTATTTTGTGGAATAAAGTGGCGCTCTAAATCACCTATTTAAAATAGGTGTCCAAAGATTAATGCGGGTCTGTTCAGGCGTTTTAGTAGGAGCACCATCACTTTTAGGTTATTCACGGCGGAGTCTTATCTTTTTTAAGTTCAATACTGGGAGCTCAATTATTCTTTTGTTTCGCCAAATGAGAAGCGAAGCTTCGTAAGAAAAGCATTTGTCCTCCGCAAAACCTGTTCACTTTCTATAATTAAAAAATTTGTGTTGCAAAAACAATCTATTCCAAACACTACGCAGGTTGCGGATGACGCTTCCGTGTATCAAATAAAGTTTAAATTGAAAAAGAAAATGCCTGTCAACTCTAAAACTGGCAGGCATACATTCGAAGACAATATTTTTTTCAAGCTTAAATGGTATGCGCTTTAACCCGCTTCATATAAGACACTAAACGCGTGAAAAACAAGATTTGCAGGAAGATGGTAAACAGTGAAATAGTCCATTCATACCAATCGTCAAACGTGAAATAGTCCATTCATACCAATGATCAAACGCCGTGCCTTCTAGATTAAAAGCAAAATAAAGCCCCAATAACACTGCACCAAATACAACACCAGCCACAGTGGTTTGTACCAAAATGGGAAAAGACAACGCTGTGATTCGACCTAAGAAATGCTCACCCTCATCGCCGCCATTGGCTTTGTAAGCGCTTTGAATCCCGATAAACATAATCAATAAAGTCAGAAGTCCCTCAACACCAATCACACGGACATCACCATAGGGCGAATACATGCCGTAGTAATACACCACTGAAACCAGTAACGCTGTGACTAAGTAATAATTTTTATAATGCTTTTTATCGAGGGTGTTGCTAGATAATTCATGTGCTAATGCTTTGGTATTCCAAAAATACATGCCGGTCATGGTCTCTTATTTTATCAATGCCGACACTGTACTGACTCAGCATTTAAAGATAAAGACTTTCTCAACAAAATTTTGCGAATAGATTGAATCATTTAAGCTCAAAGCTTGTGCTTATGTATTACATAAAAAATCATGATCTTATCGATGGCACGGATACATGTCTGGCCTTAAAACAGTTCAATTTTTTAGAAAATACTGCTCCAGTCTTCCATTTAAAATCTAGCGTTCACAACACACATAAAAACTTCAGTAAATAGCCGTGAAAAAAATCCAGTTTACGGTACAATCAATCGAAAAAAAGTCAAAACGCAGGTTTAAAATGTCTTCTGTAGTTGCAACGACGGCGGTTCGCGGTCGCTTCCTAGATATTCAGAATACGGTTGCCCAAGCGCGTGAAATTCACGACCAAGTGCGTTACGTAGAAGATGGTTTACTGATTAGCCAAAATGGCAAAATCCAATGGTTTGGATCTTGGCAGGAGGGGCAACAGCACCTTCCTGTTGGCGTCGAGGTTCAGCACTATCCTGAACAATTGATTGTGCCGGGTTTTATCGACACCCACATTCATTTTCCACAAACAGAAATGGTGGGGGCCTATGGTGAACAGCTACTCGAATGGCTCAATACCTATACCTTCCCAACCGAATTACAATTTTCCGATAAAGCCTATGCCGACCAGATTGCCCAATTCTTTGTGCAAGAACTGCTGAAAAATGGCACCACCACAGCCTTGGTCTTCTGTACTGTGCATACCGAATCAGTCGATGCACTATTTGAAGCAGCAGGGCAGCACCAGATGCGTCTGATCGCAGGTAAAGTCATGATGGACCGTCATGCACCTGAAGGTCTTTGCGACACGCCTGACAGTGCTTATGCAGACTCTAAGGCACTGATTGAAAAATGGCATGGCAAAGGCCGTAACCTGTATGCGATTACGCCACGTTTTGCCCCAACCTCAACACCAGAGCAATTGGCTAAAGCAGGGCAGCTCAAAGCTGAATACCCAGATGTGTATGTGCATACGCATTTAAGTGAAAATAAAAATGAAATCGCTTGGGTGAAAGACTTATTCCCTGAGCAGCAAGGTTATCTCGATGTTTATCATCACTTTGGCTTAACCGGTTCGCATTCGGTCTTTGCCCACTGCGTGCATTTAGAAGACGCTGAGTGGGACTGCATGCATCAGACTGACTCTGCCATTGCTTTCTGTCCGACCTCCAACCTATTTTTAGGCAGTGGTTTATTTCCATTGAACAAGACTTGGGAAAAGCAGGTAAAAGTTGGGCTGGGTACAGACATTGGTGCAGGGACCTCTTTTAACCAACTACAAACCCTCAATGAAGCCTATAAAGTGCAGCAGCTTCAGGGCGATAAACTGTCCGCATTTGAGTCGCTCTACCACGCTACGCTGGGCGGTGCCAAAGCACTGAGCTTGGATGATAAACTCGGTAACTTTAATTTGGGCAAAGAAGCCGACTTTGTGGTGCTCGATCTCAAAGCAACCGCGTTGCAAGCATTACGTCAGCAACGTGCAAAAGGGATTGAAGATGCGTTATTTGCCCTGATGACCATGGGTGATGACCGTAATATTCATGCGACTTATATTTTTGGTCAGAAAGCCTATGTGCAAAACTAAGTAGCAAATAGCGAAAATTTAAGCGGTTAATCGAGTTTTGAAACGACTTTGATTTTCGCCTCTAAACCAAGCTGCATCCCGCCTACAATGAAATGATTACATTTTCAGCGGGCAAAAGGGGGTGCATCTCGTTTAGAGATATATTAAAATTAATGCATATATAGAGGTGTTGCAGGTCAACGCCTTTTTTATTTTTGATTTTTTTTAATTTTTAGGTATCTACCCATGACCGTTCAAATGAGCGTAATGATTTCTACTGAAGAGATTCAAGCGAAAGTAAAAGAGCTTGGTGCACAAATCGATGCGCATTATGCAAACAGTGATAAGGAACTCGTACTGATTGGTTTATTACGTGGTTCAGTCATTTTCATGGCAGACTTATGTCGTACCATTTCAAAACCACATGAACTCGATTTCATGACGGTTTCGAGCTACGGTGGCGGTACGGTATCTTCACGTGATGTAAAAATTTTAAAAGATTTAGACGGCGAAATTCGCGGTAAAGATGTCTTGGTCATTGAAGACATCATCGACTCAGGCAACACCTTGAGCAAAGTATTAGAAATTTTAGAAACACGCTCTCCCAACTCAATTGAACTATGCACCTTAGTCAGCAAACCTTCACGCCGTGAAATTGAACTCGATGTGAAGTTTTTAGGCTTTAATGTCGAAGATCGATTCATTGTGGGTTATGGCTTAGACTACGACCAAAAGTACCGTCATTTGCCATTTATTGGTGAAATTGGTCTTTAAGAGCAATCGAGAAAAGAGTGGCCGAAGGCCACTTTTTTTATTTTTATCGTGAGCTAAGTACATAAAACATACAGTTTTTAGCAGATTCGCTCTACTGCACAGTCGCATTATGCCCGATGATATTTTTGCACATGATGTAAAAACAAAGACATGATAAAAAAGGAGCTGGCTCATGTGGTCACTTATTGTTGCAATCGTGATTGGTTTTATTGCAGGTCTCATCGCACGTGCTATCCATCCTGGCGATGACAAAGCGGGATTTATTGTCACCACTTTACTGGGGATTGCAGGTTCTCTCGTAGCCACTTATGGTGGTCGTTTACTTGGTCTCTATAGTGAAGGCTCTGCCGCAGGCTTTATTGCGTCAGTTATTGGGGCCATTGTTATTTTATTCATCTACAACATGGTCACCAAAAAAACCTAAACTCAGCCATTAAAAAAAGCACCGTTTCAGGTGCTTTTTATCTGTATCTTTGAACTCTTATAAGCCCAGTTCACGCCACATATTTTCAATGGTGGTTGAAGGCACAGCACCATTCACTTTAAAGCCATTTGAGAAAATAACCACAGGCGTCCCTTGTAAACCCAGACTACGACCGAGTTCAATGTTGCGCTCAATTGGATTGGCACACGGTTTTTTCGACGTTGGCTGAGTCCCTTTTGCAATCAAATTTTTCCATGCGAGGGCAGGGTCTGCTTCACAAAACACTTGTTTCGACGGTGCAATCGATTGCGCCTTAATGGCATAAATAAA